AAGCAAGCCCGGTGGTATGCATCCTTAGATGTATCATCCATGCAAGTTTGGTCAACATAGGGCTTATAGTTACTTGGAAATGAAACCTACACCAAAAACTTTAACCTGTTCACTCAACCGGAAAATGTAGGTCAGATTCAGCATCTGAAGCAATCCCGGTAGTATGCATCCTTAGATGTATCATCCATGCAAGTTTGGTCAACATAGGCCTGATAGTTACTTGGAAATGAAACCCACACCAAAAACTGCACCAAAAATGTTAACCTGCTCCAAAAACATTAACCTGGTAATTCCTTTGCTGAAATTGCAGCATCTGAAACTTTGTCTGGTACAATAAAACACACTAAAACCTTTTTCCATGCATGTCTAATCAGTATAGGACACAGAAGTAATTAAAAAGAAAACTGCTCCAAAAAACTTAACCTTAACCTGGGACGCCGACGCCGAGGGTATCACATAAGCTCCCCCCAACTTCGTTGAGGTGAGCTAAAAATTCAGTGAGATAATTTTACCCAAGCATTATAATATACCTTGTATATGAGTCCAAATTTAATAGTCTAAAAATAAGATGCCAAAAAAGAAATAAATACAAATAAATTGTCTTTAACTATCAAAAGAGCTATAATTGACTTTATCAAATTATCAGGAATTTTGGTGCTCTCTAATTGGTCTAAAGCGAGTTCACCTTATATGACATTCTGAGGGGTTTATTTGGGTTTTCCCTCTTGACCAACCATAGATTTGCTTACAGTTTTTTCGACCAATCAGATTGTATGTTTCAAAGCATGTGTCAGTGTGAATGTAAACATGTCAGACGCCAGTACCAAGGAGATTAAATGCTTTTGAAAGTAAATGGTTGAGTATTGATTGTTTAATAATATTGTTTTCCATTGTTAACTACTAATTGTTCAACTTTTGAAGTATAACAACATGTGAAAAGTGTTGTTACACTTTGCATTTTATTATGTTTATATCTGATGGAGATAAGAACGAAAATGTCAAAAGTGTTGTAAAATTCCTGGTCATTTAATAAAAAAGTTATTGACTTTGTCGTGAATATATGGACCTGGTCAGGTACTGTAGATCACTTAATTTTCGCTACAGCTTATTTTTCACAAGATCATCATTTATTCTTTATTAGCGAGACATAATTTTCACGAATTGTTGTACTTCTCAATAAAATCTTAAGGTGTACTATATTACGCGAGAATGAAATTTTTGTGAGATAATTTTGTCGCATAATTACGTGAAAATAAAATTCTCACAAATAAAAAGTGGTTTACAGTTTTGGTTAACCTCGGCTTTCCGCCTCAGTCAACCAATACCTGACCAGGTCCATATAGTCACAAGTAGACCTCATCAAAAGTCAATAATTGTATAAAGTTCACTTCAATTGGCCCCATCTCTGTGAAGCATCTTTAAGACAACTAATTTTCATGGAATTAAATGTCATGTTAATTGAAATTTGCAGAAAATGTCTTAGTCATACAGTTAAACTTGTCACAGTGGTCACTTTTATCCAGCAGTCACTTTATTTGGCTTTTGGCTGTGATGCTAAAAAGGCAGTATTCCACACAACAAGTGCCAGCAGAGTACATGGACCACCCAGCCCTGGGAGTCCATATGAAGAAGTTTTGCCTTGGACCTGAAGCTTCAATGTAGGACTGACAGGGTTGTCTCTAAGAATAAAAAAGCAGGGGACATTAAAAGAGCAGAAGGGGATCTGAGGTTTTTCACCTAACAGGAGAGTGAGGAGGAATACCAAAGTAACCAGGGGATTACATCATTATATGCAGTAGATTTTGAATAAAAATTTCCTATGTATTCTTATATTAAACTTTGATCCCCCATTGTGGCCCCGCCCTTCTAAATTTGAACAAACTTGAATCAACACTACCTGAGGATGCTTCCACATTAGTTTCAGCTTTCCCAACCCAGGAGTTCTTGAGAAGATTTTTCAAACATGCCACCAAATTTTTACTATTTCTTAATTATCCTCCCTTGAAAGAGGGCTGGGCACTTCATTTAAACAATTATGTGTACATAACAATACCAATGCTGAAGTAGTTAATATGTCATTCCTATAGATGATAACTCCTAAATCGGCACTTAGTCAATTTTTCACACCTGATTTACCTGTCCTCAAAACACAACACCGTACAGTTCAGTTATAAATAATTAAACTTTTCAATGATTTAATTAAATGTATGCATAAGTTATTATCTTTTTTGATAATTTCATGTACCTATAAATCTATCAATGAAATGTTTTTACTATATGCGCAACATTGAAAAATTAGTTGAAAGGCCTAGTATAGGGACTACCAGCCCTGTGAATCCATGTAGAGGAGATCTGCCTTGGACCTGAAGCTTTAATACAGGACTGACCAGGGTCTTAATAAAAGTAGAAGGGGATCTGGGGTTCCTCTCCTAACAAGGGAATGAGGAAGAATACCATAGTAAGGCCTAGAAAAATAAACTGTGTGATTCTGCTTCCCCAATCGACCCTAAAATATATGAACAGACTCTGAAAAATTTATCCAATATCTTATTAGAAGTAAACTAGAAATATGTCCAATGGACATGAATGCCCCTCCAAGTGTATATTAGTAATGTGACATGAAAATTTGTATTAGTGTATGAAGTTGACGAAAATATCTTGAACAGTTTCTTTAAATTGGAAAATATATGATAAATTCTCACCAAAATTATGTATAAGTGAATGCTTAGAGCAATGTATATAAAAATATCTTAAAGTTTTTTTATGCAAAATACAAATTAAAGAAAAGGGAAGTCAAGGTCACAGGAAAATGCATGGTCAAAAGTTTTTGATGCAATTGAAAAGCTCCCACTTATACGTATTGGCATATTTATGTTTGATAAAAATACCTTAATGGTTTCTTTAAAACTGTTCTAAATACTTATCTAAGAAAAGAGAGGTCAAAGTTAAAGGAAAGGCCAAGTTAAAAAATGTTGATGCAGTTGAAAAACTGGCATAAGTATGTATCAACATATGAAGTTTGATTACACAATATCTTTAAAACTAAACTATCAATTTAGGTTAGGTAAAATGAGGTCAAAGGGAAGGTCAATGTCAAAAATGTTATTCATTTGAATAGTTTACATTAGTATGTATCAACATATGAAGTTTGATTATCAACTAGGTCACAAAAAGGTATCTTTCAAAAAACCCTTCAATGATAGTATATTATCAAACTATCAAAAATATCTCCGTCAGATTCAGCATGCAATGGTTTGCATTTCAGATGTATCATCCATAAGTTTAAAATATATAAAACTTTCAAATGAAACCTGCACCAAAAAATAATTGTTATAAATTGTTTCACTTTTTGTCAAATTATACCCCCAAATTCTTTTTCTTTCAAAAGACATCAAAATTCATAAGTTAAAAAAATAATTTTTGTTAGGTCACACAAAAAATAATCCATTTTGATATCGCGTGAAATCACCTTCGAAAAATTAAATTTATCGCTTACATGTATATCTCATGAAGAATGAACCCGAGCATTTTTTTTCACAACAAAGTACTGATACCTGTACATGGACAATATTTTAGCCTTCGTTACTAAATTTCCTTTAAAATAAATACCTAATTTTCCTTTATTCCTTAACTATGCATATTAATATAAAAATTACTATGGATTATATTCAATGACTTAGGCTTCTACTACTGGAAAAAAAAAATACTCGGGTTTGTATTATCTTCATAATTAGATAAAACTGATAATTTTTTCTTTTTTCCAAAGGTGACTTCACAACAGATCTTAACTTCCTGTCAGGGACTTCTGTTTGTCAATTAGGTTTTTGATCTATGTTTTCCACTTAAGGATTGTTATAATAAACTATTAAATCAATCTAACAATTTATTTTTATTAATTATTATCTATGTAATGACATACTTTTATTGTGTAAGATGATATGTACCTGTTTCGGATTAAGCGGCTTTAAAACTTAGCTATACACTAACTCAAGAAAAGTGAGGTCAAGGTGAAAGAAACGGTCAAGGTCAAAAAAATGTTGATGCATTTGAATAACTTACATCAGTATGTATCAAAATATGAAAATTGATCACACTATCTTGAATGCTTTCTTTAAATCTGACCTAAACACTAATTTAAAAAAAGTGAGGTCAAGATCAAAGGAAAGGTCAAGGTCAAAAAAAGCAATTACATAGCTCTCATCAACATCTCTCAGCATATGAAGTTTGATATAAATATCTTAATTAGTTTCTTTGAAACTTAGCTTTGAAGTCTCATACATGGAAATAATTTCACTATATATTACTATACAGCTTGAATTAAATTATTTAATTAATTAGACTCTCAACAGATAATTCATGAAAGAGAAAATAAACATTAATGCTAAAACAAACATTTGAGATCAGAAAAAATACACCTTATACAGCTTTCAAGAAAGACAGTAAACATACCTACCCTGAAATACACATGGATTTCACATGTTGACAAACAGCCTACACACCATCCATGAAGTTGCACCTGAAAAAAAAGTTCCCTTTAATTCAGTTGGATTAGTTCTAAGAAAAGTTCTAAGATGTTCCAAACTAACATCATGAATATTCATAATAATATCAGTATAATAAAACAGTTAAAGTATACCACTGAGGGAGTCAGCAAGATTCCAGTTCCCCTCAAGCAAGCCTCTTTCACTTGGCTGCGCCTCAGGAATTAGACTTGCTCTTGGGGAACTGGAATCTTGCCGACTCCTCCAATGATTTACTTTAACTGTATGCTGTTGGTTTTGGACAGTGAAAAACAAGATGACAGAAGACTGTAAGTTGCAAATACAGGTACTGTACTCCTGTTAGAAAGGACATATCATGAGCTGATACATGTATCAAACAAGAGGCCCATGGGCCACATCGGTCACCTGAGCACTGTGGCTGGGAAAAAGTAGAAATTGGTTTATTATTGAATAATTTATATCCAAAAGTAGTTCCATGACCAATCACGGCTTTGCTATTCTTGATAAGAAGATTTTTAAAGAATTTTCTTATATATTTCTATGTAAAACTTTGGTCTGCCATTTTTTCCCCGCCCTACCCCTGGGGGGTCATGATTGAACAAATTTGAATCTACACTACCCGAGGCTCAGGTGTGCTGAAATAGTCAACTTTTCAGGGCAAAATGATTGTATTTCATGAACATATCTGTGGTTTCCCAGAGCTAATGGTGGGGAGAAAGGGGGGAGGGTTAGACTGGGGTGACTCCTTAATTTTTGGTTGAAGGGATTTTTTTTTATGTGTTGGACAACACCTGTGAAAACTTCTTGATCAGCAATAAGTAAGGTTGGAGTTTAATTATTAATATTAAAAATGCCCTATTTTTCACTAGTTTAAAGTTTAAGGTTGGAGTTTAATTATTAATATTAACAATGCCCTATTTTTCACTATATATTACTATACAGCTTGAATTAAATCATTTAATTAATTAGATTCTCAGCAGATAATTCTTGAAAGACAAAATAAATATTATTGTTTAAAGGCCGAGGTTTTCAACCGTACGGTTTTCCTCAGGTAAGTTTTGTGTGGGGTGGAGCTTAATCGAAGCTCCTGAGAAGCCCCGAGGGAACGACACTGACTTGTGTTACTACCTATATACACAGATGTTCCTGAGTCTATTACCTGTATGCGTTTTCCTACGACATTGTAAAACGAAGCCGTTTTTTTTCCATGTGTAGCTCAATTGAAATGCATGAAATAAAGCATTTTTTTGCGGAAAGAATCCTTCTAAAATTCTTTCTTTTAAAATTGATATTTTAAATAATTCGACAATTTCAATATACTGCGTGTTTGTTAATCAAATTTTATAACGGAAATACATGTAGCACAAAAATCTGTCCTTATAATCTGGCGACAAAAAGGGAAATAATTCTAGTTACACGTTGTGTACGCAAAACGAAAAGAGAAAGTGGGTCATAATTAAGTCTCTCGGTAAATAACAATTAAAATTAGAACCGATTTTTGAGAATAAATTGTTGGAGAAATATAATTCTTGATCAGTGTAAATCAATATATTTTTTAAGATAAACCCTACGTGATTTACCATAACGCATGGTCTGTAAAAATGGCCTAGGGGTTCAATGATTTAATGATTTTGACAGCTAGGCCTATGAAGGAATAAATATGCGTTAACCCATGCTTTGAAAAATTAAAATGATCGACTGTAATTGTGAATGAAATGAAATTCCCCCTATCAAAATTGAAATTATAAAATATAGGCATTATTTTTTTTTCATTTATTTAATCATTTGATGGATTAATTATACTTATGCCATATTCTTATGAATTAAACAAAAGCTTTTGCTTGTTTAACGTTGGCATAAGCGGAATTTAAGGCATCAAAAGCCTGAATGTTAATTCGATGGTCGGTATGATCTTCAGACAATGTACACAAGATATACACAACGGCAGCAAACTAAAAGTCAATCAAATCAAAGTATCCAATCCCAGAACTTAATTTCAAGATGATTGACAGTGGTTTTAAGCAATAACTATGAAAATAAATTTGAGGGAGGTGCTTATTTCCTCCCCCTTTAAACAAAAGCAGTATAAATTCAAAACTTTTAGTGTCCTCTATATTTTGCTCAAATGAACTCATGGATTCAATCGATTAATAGTAACACTAACTTACCTATAGCATCCACCACACAGGCTTCTCTGGTGTACGCTTCCACAGGGATGACGCTCTGAACACAATGCAGGGAGACAACTTCTTGACCATCATTCCAGATGTCCAAGATATGTTGGACTTTCTTGTCAGCCTACAAAATACATCAATCTAATTTCACTAGACAGTTTTAATAAAATGATTTGCTTACTTATTTTGAAACATTACAGTGTAAGGTATACTTATTTGGATCTATAAACCATTTACATGTAAGAGCACAATGAAGTCAAATAAAACAAGCTCATACCTTGAATGATAAAGAAATAATTTTTTTCAGAAATGTTCGAACGATAGGCGACTATCGACTATTCAGAACATTTTTCTTTTGGAAAAAAATCTCATCAATAGCGCATTTAAAGCTCAGGACAGCTTTCGTAAATTTATGTAAAAAGTAACATCAAATGCCCGTATTGCAAACCGAATCTCAGATATAAGATAATGAAATGAAATAGATTTGCACAAGCGATTCTTGTCACATTCATTGGTCTATACAGTCAGTTTTTCTAGTAAGCTTACAGAATAGTCAGCACAATGTTTTTAAAGTTTATTAAAATTAATTGGACAAGGGGAGGCCGCAGACTTGTCGAAATTTTTTAATCGTTGTCAGACATTTGGTCTGACACAGTCGAATGTTTTGTCGGACCAGTCAAACTTTTGTCAGACCAGATACTTGTACGTTATTTTGATGCTGGTAAAATCATATGAATAACAGCACCAAAATGTCCTTTATTATTTTCAATAGCCTTCAATCTATCAAGTTTCCTTTCTTGAGATAGAGAGTCTTTAACATAGACATAAATGACAAGTTTAATGACTTTGCTCTAACAAATTTACTTAGCTAGCATCAACATGCTGCGTACGCGACCATTTTTTCCTGTGTTTGTGACCTTGAACTACGCATCCCGATCCTGACCTTTATTAAATTTGCTTTACGCTCATTTTTTTTCAAACGGTCATCTGGACCAACGTTTTCTTAAATGTTATCGGTCCACACAAAGTTTTACTGGCCTTGGCGACAGGACCAACAGATTTCGACAAGTCTGGGAGGGGGTAAAAACACACTATCCACACGTCAGATAATTTTGTCAAATACTGCTGTAAAATTCTTGTTTTAATAATTATCAAAACTTCAAAACTTTACAGCTATGGTGTGTTCTTAGCATTTAAACATTCTTAGAGGTAATAATGAATTTTTAATTGGTACAAGTCCAATTAATAATTTTCAAAGCTAAGTTTATAGCTGCATAATTTACTACAATAACAAAAAAGGTCAGTAATTGAGAAATAATTATTGTGGTATGTAATTACTGTACTTTCTATAAGTATACACTGTGGGAAATTGTATACTGTTAAGGTGTTTAAGCTCTTATTCGGATGTGGACGTATACTATTAATGGTTTGAGGAATGACGCCTTTTTTCACTTTTGAGATAAGAATTTCCTTATCACCTGCTTTTCTTGCATTTATTTAATATTCGAATGTCGGTTCATTATTCGATTGTCGGGCCATTCGACAGATAGTCAAATAGTCGACTATTCGTTGACATCCCTACTTTTTATCAACAGAGCTTCAGCTATGTTGTTCTTTGCTTTTGTACTTTTGCTTGTTTCACTTACTTTACTCAGATTATTGTTCATGTGGGACTGGGCCTCAAAGAGATGACAGTACGGTCGGGACCGCTTTCCTTTGCCAATGTAAAATATAGCATCAACAAATAGTACGGTCAGGACAGCTTTCCTTTGAGATGACAGTACTGTTGGGACCGCTTTCCTTTGCCAATGTAAAATATAGCACCAACAAATATCTTAAATGTCTCCAATTCACCTAAAAATTAAATACAATGATGATTACGGTATGAAAATGGATAATCACAAATTCTTAGTGATTGATATTCTTCTTTTTAGATCACACAGAGAAAAAAATAACAATATAATTAAAATCAGAAGCTGCTAAAAACTTATCAGCAGTAAAGAATTAGTTTCATCATAAAAATTTTAAATTCTGAATTTCAAACGAAGCACTGATCCTGTATAACTGAGGAAAAACTTACCGAGGCTATCTGCCCTGTTGGGTAGGTCCTGTGTGAACCGAGGATTCAGTAAGAGATACTTAAAGGAGGACTTGAGGGCCCCCTCCCCCCAGGTCCAAGAGAGACTCTTGTCAGTAAACACCTTAATCAGCTCATCCTCCATCTCACGCAGACCCACCACGTCAAACTGTCCCTCAAAACTGTTACACAGCACGGGTAATCTGAGGAAAAAATGAGTTATTTAATTGTATGGTTCTAAAACATTATTCAAGCAATGACAAATGACTTTTAGTCAAATCTAATCAGGCTAAGATAGCAAGTCAATGAAAGTGTATTCATAAACATTCATGATCCATGAGATATAAATTCTACAGTGTAAGAAAAGTTATAATTAAAGTTAATTGTTTTGATGAATAAGCGAAATTGAAAACTGGTCACAGAATTGACAGAAGTATTAAGATCAATAAGATGTATTAAGCAAAGATGTTTAAGATAATTATTATTACATGTAATTGGTATATCTTAAGATCTGCTGTAATTCAAAACACACCTGGCAATTTCTTCAAAATTCCAAGCTGTCCCCCTTGTAGATTAGTTTCCAGTTGTTTAAGTATTGCGAGGTATGTCTGCCCAGTAGACGGAATAACTGGTCCAGGCTTGTCCCCTAGGCCCTGTAACTGCTGTCGGATTTCTTTATTTGACAACACATTATTGATGTCATCTGAGTAACATTTCCAGTTGTACAATTCTGTCCACTGTTTACAGGCTACAAATACTGTTGTTGATGAATGGACGGCCACTATTTCCACAAAACGACAATAGAATATGCTTTACGATCAGTTTGTTGCCAGTGTCTGAATCTTCCCAGTACTGAATCGTGGATTCTGCCGTACTTCCCAGAGATATAGTATCTATACTGTATGGAAGCGTCTTGTTGAGATCATCATACGGATCATACAGTTCAGTATCTTCAGAGTTTCCCGACTGTTCTAGAGTTGACAAACATGTGTCGGTAGCTAACGGAAAATTTTGTTGATGCCATTGTCTGACAAGTTCCTTCTTACTTGGGGATTTCAAGGTGAGACTATTTAAACTTTTAGCAAAGCTGGGTTTACTTGGAGGACAAAAGCTGTCATCTGAGGTCAAAAGGTCGCTCAGGTTTGCTGGTAGAGAGGATGGTAGGGCTATGGGGGTGAGAATACTTTCCTTTGGTTAGGAGATCTGATGGTCTGCGTAGGATATCTGACGGTCTGTGTAGAAGATTTGAGATTCATGACACTGAACTGCCTGAGAACGTCATTATTTTCAGGACGAAAGCTTTCATCTGACGTCATCAGATCACTAATATTCACAGGGTAAAATGGGCGTGGAGAACATCACGGTGAAGTCATCTTATCTTTGAAAACCTCACACACATAGTTTTCATTGTTCACCACACTTTCTCTTTCCTTGGTTATATCTTCCTATCCAAGGTCTGTCCGTGGACTAATGCCTCTAAGTGCATTTCTGTTGTGGTACAAACAAGGACTATTTTGCTGTTTTCCACACGTACATGTGTCGCAGTGACTGGTGCAAGTTAGAAATGAATCTTCTGATGTCAGAGTATCATTTCTTCTTCCTTTTATGTCAATGTATTGATGATCTGTAAGGAAGAAAAAAAACATATAAAAAAAGGATTTATACTTATACAAGAGGCCCATGGACCTTATAAGTCACCTGAGTATCAAGTAACAACTTTCCAACAATTGGATTTGGTTCGTGTTTTAAACCAGAGGCCATGGAATTCACAAGTATCAAGTAACAACTTTCCAACAATTGGATTTGGTTCGTGTTTTAAACCAGAGGCCATGGAATTCACAATTTTGTAAAAGGCACCATTGCTTATCATAACAAGATGTGTTTGTAAAACACTGATGCCCCTGTATGGCAACATCCAGCATAGGTTAACCTTTCTCAGATTTAATATGTTGGTACCCAAGTAAGGCCTTTTCACAAGAAAGATAAATCTTAAATATAAAATCCTAGCACCACCTGTTCAAGGGACCAAGGTTAACATTTTAAAAGGTAGGAAAAAAACTCCGGGGTCTAGGTCAAAGGGTCAAGATTGCTGGTTTCTAAAGAAAGGCCTTGTCTCAAAGATTACATATGGGAAGTATGAAAGCGCTGGCCCTTACCGTTCAAAAGTTATGTCCAATGTTAAAGTTTGTAAAAAGTAGGTCAAACTCCAAGGTTAGGGTCAAAGGGTCAAAATTGTTGATATCCAATAAAAGCTCTTCTTACAAGGATTACATATTTAAAGTATGAAAGCCCTAGCTCTCAACATTCAAAAGTTATGGCCAAGGTTCAAGTTTCTTCTTAAGTTCAGAAATCTCTAAGGTCAAGGTCAAAAGGTCAAAATTATTGGTTTCAAATGAATAGGTCTTGCTGAAAAGAATTGATATTTGGAATATGAAATTTCTGGTATCTACCGTCTAAGAATTAGGGCAAAAATAAAAATTTAGAATTTTTGTGTTAAAATCGGTTTAACTCCAAGGTCAAGGTCAAAGGGTCAAGGTTCTTGATATCAAATAAAAGGTCTTATCACAATGATTAAATATGTGAAGTATGAATGCCTACTTCTTACCCTTCAAAAATTATGTTCAAGGTTGTATTTTAAAGTAGGTCAAACTCCAAAGTCAAGGTCAAAGGGTCAAGATTCTTGGTACTCAATAAAGCGCCTTTTTAAAGGGATTATATATGTGAAGTATGAAAGCCCTTGCACTTACCATTAAAAATTTATAGTAAAGGTTAAAAGTTTTTTTTACAAGTACAGTAATGTCGAAGGTCAAGGTCAAAAGGTCAAAGTTGTTGGTATCCAATGAAAGGTCTTTATACAAAGAATATATATATGTGAAGTCTAAATGTCCTTTATATACTGTTCAATAGATATCGCCATTGTAAAAGTTCAAAATTTTTATGTAAATGTTGACAAACTCCAAGGTCAAGAGGTCTAATTTTGTGGTACCCAAAGATAGGTCTTGTCACAAGGAATACACATGTGAAAGATGAAAGCCATATCTCTACTAAATCGAAAGTTATGGGCAAGGATAACTAAATCAAAAGTTATGGGCAAGGTTAAAGTTTTAGCGGACAAACAGACAGACAGACAGAGAGACAGAATGACGGACATGACAAAAACTTTCTTTATTTTATATAGGCATCTATTTACTAGATAATAGATGGTCTCAGCAGTTTTGGGCGGGTGATTGGTCACTGAATGATCAGCAGAGGACAAGAAGACTGAAAGACGGAAGATCGGATGGAAATGTTCAATGGTGTCTGACGTCAAAAAAGACAGACGTATAGATGACATGTGAATTTTAATTTTGTCTTATGCTGCTGTTCAAAAAAATTTAACAGGGGGTTTAATCATGAAAAGAGTGAGTGCATACTGGTACCAAGAATTCTTAAAGAAAGTGGAATTGGTGAAAGTGTTTGCGAATCACAGATATTTTTTAATGAAACGAAGGGGAAACGCTTAAAAGTATGACGGTGCGTATCCATCATATGACGTTATATTTATGTGTGGCGACTACCATAAATTTAAAATCCGATAATTTAAAAAGCATACATCATATTCTTTTGAATTTTTCAAGTCCGATTTGAAATAAATAAAGCTTCGATCATGCATAATTTTCTTGCTTTATGTCGATTTATAGCAATTTCATCAAAGTTGTGACATTACTTTTAGATCAACCCTCGTAAATGAAAATGGCAGAAAATGTCTAGTATTTATTTATCTTTCATAAATGACTGCAACAAAATTTATTTTTGTCCTTAAGGGATGAACAATGGAGATAACTCTTCCTAACACATTATTGACTTCTAGGCTAAATTTCTGTACAAATTAATCTTTAATATATTAATTTCAAAACTTAAATAAATCTAATGAGTTAATTACCGGGTATTGAGAAAACAATTTGGAATGAAATGTCAAAGCTGAAATGCTGGAGGTTTTGGCTACCTGCTAAAAAAAATTTCAACTCTAATTAATGAGCTCTAATTAGCTAAGAAACAGGAAGTTAACTGCTTTATAAGGAATTATTTAGCAAAAAAGTCAAAATCTTTAATTCTTAAACAAAGTCAGAGACTGGAAGAAATGGTGTCAAAAGAAACTTCACTATTGTACCTTGGAGCTTTGATAACGATGATCACTGATTAATGGCTGGTGATTAAGACAAGGGGTTCTTTAGCAGTGGGGGATGATGAGGCTTTCCATCAGTCATCAAAGAATGGAGTTTCTCTTAGAAGAATAGACAGCTCTAAAATAAATAACCAAAACAAAAGTTTACAATATTTAACCAGAAGTCTCTGTCGAGACTGAAGCTCTACTGGTTTGTACTTATAGCAAAGGAAGGGAAAAGTACTTAAGCAGTTGGGAATTGAAACTTAACAACAGCAATAATTAAATAAATAATGATCCTTGATTAAGTCTCTTAATGTTCTTAGTGTAGTCTACTTGCATGCCACATTATATTATAATCAGACTTAAACTGTATTTGGAGTAGCATTTTGAGAGTATTTAACAGAAATTTCTGTTTTTAGTAACCAAGGCAATAATGTTCATCCAAGTCAAAAAACCGATATACAGAATTGTGTATCTTTGTGTATTCTACTTTGTGTACCAAGTTATATTGAAATCAGACCAAAACTAAGAGACGTAGCATTTTAATAGAATTTCACAGAAATTTCTATTTTTATTAACCACGGCAACACCGTTCATTGAAATCAAAAACCGATAAACAGAATTATGTATCTTAGCGTAGTCTACTTGTGTGCCAAGTTATATTGAAATCAGACCATAGCTGTAAATGATGTAGCATTTTGAAAGAACTTCACTGAAATTTCTATTTTTAGTAACCATGGCAACACCGTTCCTCGAAAACAAAAACCGTAAAAAGAATTATGTACCTTAGTGTAGTCTACTTGTGTGCCAAGTTATACTTAAATCAGACCAAAACTGTAGGAGGAGTAGCATTTTGAAAAATTGTTTACAGACAGACGGACGCATTACTATCGCACAAGCTCTTCTGGTCTCTGACCAGTAGAGCTAAAAATATGCACTGTATACAATAGCATATTCTTAGAAAAAGTCTTCATGTATACAGTTATCATGACAAAAAAAGAACCAAAATGGTTGCATCAACATCAGTACAAATAGAAGTTTTGAACATTGGGAATTAAAAAATAAAAACATTATCTCTTCAATGATATTGTCTTGTTTGTTGCAAAACTAATAGCATTTACATTTCATATTTTTCCTACCTCATTTAAGTGATTTTCAAGCTGCTCTGTAGGAGGATTGTGGGAAATTTAGGATGCATTTCTGCTGTCATTCAGAGTCTGAAATCTTCAAGTGGCTTCAATGTATTTATTTCCTAAAAACAAAAATTGTGTTACTCCAGTTTGACAACAGAAACCTGCAAAAATCTGAACATTGGTCTAAAATTTCCCAAGAAAGAAGAAAGAACTAAGTGACACCTTTTCCAGCTGAGGCAGCCAGGCTGTTACAAGATGGAGGTTCTTCAGACACAGCCATTCTACATTCTGAGCACACTCCCTCAGCAACTGCATAGCTATGTCAGACTGACCTTGACCCATAGCAACCTGTCAAGAAATAGTTCAATACCCCAGTAAGATAAAATCTAATCAAAAGAGAGAAAGCACTTACGAAAGTAACAAGACACTTTTTAAAAATAGTTTTCACTAATTTTTGAGCCAATAGAAAAAATGATATTGAATTCAGTGACAAACCTGGTGGTATTTATCGCCACCTATAGTCTGAGCAGCCAAGTCCTGTAACTCTTGTGAGGAGTCAGCACCATGGGAGATAATGATCAGAATAGGCTCGGATGGCAAAGTTTCTGTCTCCAGGAGTCTCTTGAGATTCACAGAAGAGGGAGAAAGCTCCTTCATTCCTGGAGTATAAAATTAGAAATCTTTTACGACTATTTTAGTAAGCTAAACTGATAAGTCAAAGGGAGATAAAAGATATGGAATATGAAAATTGGATGAAAAAAAAATTATGAGCAAAGATTTATAATACCGTAGATTACTAAATTTTTACCAGTCATTGACTCTTGATTAGCGGGACAAAATTTTGATGAATTGTGTTTATTGCTCTACTTAATCTCAATGAATACTATTATATGTGAGAATTAAATTTTTGCAAGCACATTGCCTTGCGCAATTATGCGAAAATAAAGATATACAGTAATGGATATCTAATCCTGCATACTAATGCAACCACATGCAGTTACTTTTTACTTCATTTACCTTACGGCATTCACATAAGAACTATGTACAAGATCTTCACCAAATTTTGTAGAAAGAATTGTGCAAGAACTGGTAAATTGCTTATTCTTTACATAGCAGTATGTAAAAATCATGTATGTAAAAAGATGCTAACCTAAAGCCTTGCAGGCAAACAGTACCATGACAGTCTGTAGTTTGTCTGGCCCGACTGCCTGGACTACAAGTAACTGCTGGAATAGAGTGACTTGCTTCTCAATCACTGAGGGGAACTCCTTCTCACACTTGTTACTATGGGAGAAGTTAGACCACAGAGACCCATCATCAAAGTTCAGCACCTGGTACAACTTTGGGAAATTGTTCTGCAACAAACATTTACATTTTTTTTTTAAATAAGAACTGTGTTTTGAGAATCCCCCTTCCCACTTTAATTGAGGTCAGAAAATTAAACTTGACAGGTTGCTTTCATTCTGGACAAATTTGTTTAAGAAAGTAACTCAAGAGAGAGAAAAAAATTCTAATGCTTCATTTTCTAGTGAATAGAAAACAGAAGCTTGCTCAACAAAGCCAACATCTCTGTTGAAGTGATAAAGAATTTTGGAGAGTCCTTGTGAATATTCACTCTGTTGAAAAGGCCTCTAGTTTACCTTGAGATTGGTGACAGCAGTGTGCCTCTCTTGATCAACCCAGGAGGGTAATCCCCGCCCTCCCTCCGACTTCACATCAGTCACCAGGATTCCTGTGAAACCCTCCCAGTCCTGTCAAACAGTCAACAAAAAATCAACATTTTTACAGAACATTTCGAATATTCCATTCTTAACAAATATTTCTGCGACAAATAGAGAGTTTCCTCTTATTTTGAACATTGCTTAAAGCTAATGTACATAAGTTTTATTCAAACATCTCTGGTTTCATTCCATGCACCATGTGAAGGGCAAACATGAGTCGATCTGCTTTGAACAGAGAGCGGCGGACATATTCATACACCAGATTCTGTAGTCTCTGAGTCAGGGCTCGGATTCTGTGGTCAGTCTCACTGTCGTCCTATAAATGTATAGTCAAGTAAAGAGTTAGCTTAATCAGCTTCACCTTTAAATACTTTTTCTGAACTCTAATAAACAAACATCAATATGTCATTGACAAGAAGAGATAATAATGTATTTAGAATTGATACAGTCAAATAATATACATGTACATAAAAAAATTATATTAAAATTCTATTTTTAAAAATAACAGAAGCAAAGAAAAATTGATTGAGAGAAAATTTTAAAAGATATAAGCTGAAATACATTACTTGTTGGTCTTGAGAGCTTTCTGGAAGATTCTAAGGTAGGCAGCCAGACTGAATCTGTACATGTTGTTGATTTTAGTCAAGTCACTGATGACAAAGTACATCCTACTACCACTCTCTGCTAGAGGCAGGTAGGTCTTTCTCTCCTGAAATAAAATGATCAATAAATCAAAAGATTTTGTTTTACAGGAAAAATTGATTATGGTAATACATGAAGAAATGTGTTTCACTTGATTTTCCAAAAGAAATTAATTCACATGAAAAGGACACAAAATGGGTACATTGTCAGATGTATTTTACTGAAAACAAGAGGCCCAGGGGCCATATCGCTCACCTGAGTGTAAGACCTTTACTTGCAAGAATTATGCATGTAGATGTTGAGTATGAATTTCTTTTTATTCATTTTCTGTAATTGGGCTTGATCTGAGCATAAAATTGTTTAGAATGGCTTTCTTTTCAACCAGTGCTTAATTAATGCTTACAGTGTACCTCATTATCAATTTAGTCATAAAGAGGTCAATCTCAGTATTTCTGCGGAATATAGCACTTGTACTGTCAACTCTGAAGTGTACTATGCTTTTATTGAACAATAACATTTCTCTCCTTTTTGGGGGGTGTAACATTAGCTATGATAGTTACTGTGGAATCACAAATTTTCGTGGGGGGTTAATTTTCGTTGTTTTCGTGGTATGACAAGACCCACGAATTCATGTCTACAACGAAATGTAAAATTTCACACACATAAGTACTCATTAATTCTTGATCCACGAAATCAAATCCCCACGAACCAAGAAATTTTCCTCAAACCACGAAAATTTGACCCCACGAAAATATGTGATTTTACAGTATAATAAAAACAGAAAATGCGAATAAGATTTTACTTTTATTTCTTTACAAAATTCAACAGATTTGGTGAAAATTTATCAGACAATTAGTAGAGAATATAATGAAAACTAAGAAGCGTTAATAACAATCAACTATCTAAATTTCATATGATTTCAACAGACATATATAATCACAGTATCAAATATGCAATATTGCAACAATTTTGTGACAGAAATGCAAAACTTCCTGACAATAACATTACATGTAAACATAGATGCTTTTTAAACAGTTCAAAATTTGTTTAGAGGAAAGTTAAATACATCAAGGTAATCGTTTGAAAGATACAAAATATACTGTATTTATTTTTAAGTTCACTTAATAGTAAATCTTTCCTATACATAACGAAAGCGAAAATTGGAAAGATTCCAACTGAAAGTGAATAATTATATGAATAATTATATGACACTGACTTTGAACATCAACTATTATTTTTAAAGAATTTTTAATAAGTAACATTTACCGGTAATTGGAGTACCTGCAGGAATCAGATAACCTAAACTTGATGGTAATATTCCAAAATGGAGTGATTAAGATTTTTGCAATCAATAATTTTGATTTTAAAGCCCAGTCATGAGAAATTATAGTGATCCACCTTTTTTTCCCTGTCTTTTAAAGGAAAAATTGTAATGTTATAAAGAGGTAGGTTTACCTCCCTTTACGGGCTGGCCATTGACCCCCTCTTTTCATACTTACCTGGGTATAAGTCGATTCTCATGAAATTATAATATAATGGTGGTCACATATTAAATATCTCAATGCTGGAGAAAATTAAATATCAATTAGTATGGAGTTAACTGAAATCAGCAATATACTAGTAGCTTAGAATGAGTTGTCAGTTTCTGTCTGATTATGCAGGTTGCTTTCCTATTCTACACAGGTATAAGCTAAAGCTAGTAAAAGTAAATGTTTAAAGCTGAATGACTTGAAATACAAAAATACAATAAACTTAACATTTTAAGACAAAAAAAATCCAAAAAGATAAAAATTCAAGACAAATTATTTCAACACAAAGTTTCATATATACAATGAACATACATGTAAATGATGTTAAAAGAAAATATTTGCTCTGGGAAAAATATTAATTCATATACACTGTAAAAATTTATACTCTCATGTACTCCAGTATTGTTCAGCAGGGACTAAATGACACAAGACATAGTAACATTTTTAAACTTACAATATTTCTATACAGCAAAATTTTATATGAACAGATGCCGGTAATATTCGATGAATTTACTTCATAAAATTATAGAATACAGTGTTGAACATATATCAAAGATACCAATTACTTGATGCAAGTGCAACTCTAATCATTATTAAGCAGAACTCATTATTTTCTTTAAAGTAAACTTTGTAAACAATTCATGTAATCTCAAAATATTTCATGTATACCGGTATTCAAAATACAAGTTCATGATATTCATATGTATAATCATTAAAGAAAAGAATCTAAACAGTAAGGGTAAAACTATTATCTCACAAACATCAATACAGTATATTCATAATTTCTAAATATTAATTAACACATAATATATACAATGATCATCATTTTTTTTTTACATGAATGATTGTTATTGATGGTACATAAATTTCCCTTAACATGCAACATTCAATTATTTGTACATTTATTGTCTGTTAAAAATTAACCCACAATAAAAATTCATAATGAAGGATTCCTGTTTAGTACAATCATTTTAGTACAGTTATTTGCAAATTTTTAAGGCTATTCAATGCATACATATAAAAAATAGTTTAAAGTTACTAAAAACAAACAAGATTTTACATCAAGTAATTGGTGTCTATAAGATACTGTATACAGGGAAATATTCGCCCCATTTCATTTTTCCCACTGTCATCCATCTGAGGTAAGACAAATTTAAAACAGGGTAAATTAAAAGAACACGTAGTATGATTTCTTCAATAATACTGTGAGTGGGGATAATTTAAACGCTGAAAAAATTGTGTGAAAGGCTGAAAATAACACAGCCAGGGCGAATATAACCCTGTATACAGCAATCAATGTACCAAATGTCACTAAGTGACACTGGCACATCGATAGGTGGGAGAGGGGACAAGATGACGTATCTCCCCCAAATAAATACTCTTGCGTCCCTTATATCAGATTTATAAAGAATATGTACAGTAAATCATTTTATGGTCCGACCAATATGCCTCAATCACATCAGTTTCACAATGAGGGAAGTTTGTGAAAATCAAATCAAGTTGTGAACCTGAATCATGAGTTACCTTTTTGATCAATTGTGTGCATTTTAAATTCAACTTCATAAAGTTCAGAAATTCTTTGTGACCTGTAAACAAATCAAAATTGAAATCTCCAAGAATTATCAATTTTTTCTCTGTGTCTACAAAAGGTTTCAAGTGCAACATAACTTCACGTTCAAATTCTTTAAAAGAACATGCTGGGAACTTGTATAAAACAACTATCTGCACTTCTCCAAGGTCTCTGAAATTTATTAAAGCTATGATGAATTCAAGCAAAGTGTTACTGAATTTTGAGATACATGTCATCAAATGGTCTTGTTTAACATATAATGCTGTTCCATGATGAGGCCGATTGCTGTCACTTCTCTTTTCATGATTAAACAAAGTCAAGTAACCTTCCATCATAAAATTCTGTTCATCATTGATGGTTAGTCTTGTTTCTGAAAAACCAATAACATCTGATGCTACAACATTGGGTTCATTTTTAATTTCATCAAAATGTTTGTGAAGAGATCTTGCATTATTAAACATAATTTTTAGTTTGTTCTGCTCTGTTTTGTACAATGGAAGATAACACAGCTTTAGAGGTGCTTCCTTCCTCATTCTTTCCATTTCTTCTACAACTTTATCATCAACAGTTAATGCTTGCTCATTGAAATTCAGAATATGCAATTTGTCAACAGATCTAACTCTACTAAGAGCTACATAATGAATGTGGGGTGTTTTCCTTATCCTTGACTGAGATAAATCTACTACAATTTCATCAACAGTGCAGCCCTGAGCCTTATGAATTGTCTTACCTGCAGCTGGTCTTAAAGGAAACTGTATTCTTTGATATGTAGTTGAATTGAAAACAAAAGATCGCTGACAGTCAAATATCGGTGTCCAATCATCCATAACACCATCATGGAAAAGATGTCTGTATTTCTGTCGAGCAATTCTCCCTACTGCAGAATCCAAAAACTTCACCCATACTATACTTGGCCTTGATACACCAGGTAATCTGTTTTCAACAAGAAATACAGTACATGATGAACCATTTGTCAAGCCATCAGTAACATCAATATTAACTGTAATGTCATATATCATTCCAATGGCTAGAGTTAGTTTTGTCATGAGATTTGCAGTTTTGCTAACATCATCTTGATTTTGCAATGATCTGAGTAGTCGGTCTTTCACAGACTTACTGTGGTCTTGGAGGACACTGTCAACAGCTTTTACAATAACTTTTTCACCAGGAAGTTGCTCTATAAGTTTATTGTTATATTCATCTACTTTTGCATTCATTGTGAAAAGATGGGGAGCATTGTGTGGATAATTTGGACTATTTTCAGCAATGATGCACCTGTGAATTATATCCAAGTCCTCAGAAGTCATCTCATTGTGACGAAGACGGTTCAAAAGCTGTGCAAATTCTAAATCATCCTTTTGTCGCATTACTTCATCTAACTCGAATAAGGTGAAGTTTTCTTTCCAAAGATTACATGCAAGTGCTTGGGCATTTTGTTTTAAATCTTGAAAAATCCAGCCATCCATAATTGGTTTCAGTTGAAAGAAATCTCCAACAGCAATAATACTGATGCCTCCAAACGGCCTCTTCAAACCAGTAAGAAGCTGAAGTCTGCCATTGATAAATTCCAACTTTGCATTGCCAACCATTGAAATTTCATCTATGATGACAACTGACAAATTTCTGTATTTAGTTCTAAATGTGTTGAGTTCATCACAATGCATATTTTGCTGCCTTTGGTTAATTTTCTGGTGAAATGCAGAAGCAATTGTCTGACCACCAATGTTAAACGCAGCTTTACCAGTGTATGCACAAAGAAGAATTCGTATATCGTCTGGATTTTCACCCTCCTTAGCACATAAATACCGATGTAAAGCTTGATAAAGCGCTTTAATTAACACTGACTTCCCAACTCCTGCACCTCCTGAAAGATATGCATGAATAGGTTCCTGTTTAGACTTGATCCATTGCATAACATGATTGAAGAATTCGCGTTGCTTCAAATTTAAACTGGCTACAAGCTTTAAATACTCATCATCAGGTAATCTAACAGAACTCTGTTCATTTAATTGTCTTGTTGATGGAATTCCAACTTCATTTCCTATATCATACTCTCTCTGTTCAATTGGCCTTTCTGGATTAAAGTGAACGAATGTTTCAGAATCAACATTTCCTTCATATTCATCATCTGCGTCAGTTTGTTGAGCACCAGGAGCTAATTCATCATATGCTTCTGTCAAATCATCCTGCGCCATCTGTTCTGCCTGCTCAAGCACATCAGCATTGTGTTCATACTGTTTGATTTTCTGAGCCAAGAAAAATTTTTTCTGGTTAAATGACTGCTCAAAGCTCTGCTGTCCACACAGAAGATCAGAA